ATTTTAAATTTCCTATAATTAAATCCAGAGCCTCTTGTACAACAGCAAGTGCTCTACCAACTGAGGCAAAGAGTAATCCAAAAGCATTTTATTAACTCAAACTACCACATCCTTCCCCTCCCAGACACAAAGGCCTGTCCTCAGGTCGTATCTCAGGGTTATGCGATGATTTGTACCTGGTCATTCATTTTTCTCTGGTAATACAATTTTTGCATATCCTGTAAGCAGAAATGAACTAGGACTTCTCACACGCCATATAAATGCTCAACCAGCTAACAAGAGGGTTTTAACCCACATCTATTCCTAGTAAGGCCACTTTTTAGCAAGTCAACTTACCACACAACTAAAATTGCACGTGTTATTCTTCTACACGTGGTTATTACAGGGTACGTTACATAAAATTTTAGCTCTTAGGATACACATAAATACAAAATTTACACACACCTTCCTCAAACGAGTCATTAACATTCCAAGAATAACGATACAAAAATAGAGGTTTTTCATTACCGACTAATTCAGTCTATAAATTGAAACAAAGTAAAAATGACCTCATATTGTATAAATTACTAATACAGTTACCTTTCAGCTAATCCACCATCTGTAAGGCCAGAAATGAGAATTGGTTGAAAACGTTCTTCAGATCCGGAGATGGTTATACCAAGTGGTCCTCCATGACGTGCCAACTCCACCGTATAGACAATGCAACCAGATGCATCCGGTTCTTCTAAACATACAGAAAGATGTTTAAAATTACTAATCTGATCGTTTTATAAAGTTAACATATATTATCTATATATAAATAAAGCTGTCTTACAGGTTAACTGAAAAAAAATTCATGTCTTTGGTCATCTTTAACAAACATCTATTATGAAAAGTTCATTCAAACAGATGAAATAGGATCTCATTCATCGTCTCACCACAGAAAGTTTCATCTTTGCGAATTCTCAGTTTTACAATCTGGTCAGAGGACTGTAAAATTTCGGCAGCATCTTCGATGGTACAGTTGTCCATCCTCACCGAATCTATGGCTAACAGTTTGTCTCCTGGTTGAAGAGTTCCTGTTCGATGAGCCACACTTCCTTTCTTGATGTCTGAAATGATCAGGGGATCTCCTTGTTGTCGGTTTTTAGGAGCTGAAGAAATCCAACAGCAAGGAAGCATATCATGTTCATGGATTGTAAACATTAGTTTTCTAATTATGTATACATATTTTTTGACATATAATAACAACAAGTAAGAAATATACTTATATGATGTCAATAATGTAGCATTGTATATTAAAAACCATACCTGTAATTTAATTTTTGTGTGTATACAAAAAGTGGTTCACATTTAAATTTTCTGCTCTCAAAATATGTAAGTATTAATTTCTGATAAGTTTGTTTGTACTTAAGCACAAAGCTACACAATGGGCTATCTATGTTGTGCCCACTTTGGGTATCGAAACCTGGTTTTTATCGTTATAATCAGCTGTAATTCCCTAGAATTATTTTAAACTGTGTTGTAGTTAGAATCCTCGGTAAAAGTTGTTGTGGGCAGATAAGTGTTAATAAAAGAATTATTAATAATAAATAGTAATACTCGTATTTTATAACAAGAAACGTCTGAAGTTTCTGGCTTGTGTTCAAGACGTTCTGTTCTAAAAATCACGTCATGCTATCACGTCAAAAACTTTACGTTCTGTTCTAAAAATCACGTCATGCTATCACGTCAAAAACGTTACGTTCTGTTCTAAAAATCACGTCATGCTATCATGTCAAAAACTTTACGTTCTGTTCTAAAAATCACGTCGCTATCATGTCAAAAACTTTACAAGCAAACTAGTTATTTTCAGTTTATTTTATATATCTGTTGTTTTTTTTGTATTATTAATTTGTCTAATGGTGTATATAAGGGTGTGAAACAAATGAATTTTATGTTATAGTTTTGACCATACACACCTGTGATTGTTATGCCTAAACCACCACCAGTTTTCGCCAGTTTGACAGTGAACGTTCCACTACTTGGCACCACCGTTTCCGTTATATCAAACTCAATGTTGAGTGTGACCCGAGGGTGGGATCTTTGGAGTAACTGCATGACTTCTTCGAGGGTCAGTCCGAGGGTGGAGTGAGTGTTTACTGCTAACACCTTATCTCCAACATGAAGAACGCCCGTCCTGAAATAACAACGAATCAAATTTTCTTCACACTCTATATATCATGTATGGATGAATGATAACTTGTTTGACAATGATGGACCCTTCCGCTCAAGATTGATAAGTTTCCATTCTCTGTCACTCTAAGTTATATAACTATGTGTATCTTTATACAGAAAAAAAAGAAACAACCCAGATAACGCAAGATTACTTTGTGATGTAAATTGTATGTGGTAAATATTATGTTTTTCTTGTTTGTTTGTTTGTTATAGCTCAAAGCCGCATTGGGCTATCTGCTATGTCGATCGCGGGGAATCGAACCCCATATTCTAGCGTTGTAGGTCCGTAAACTTACCGCTGTGGACAGCACATTATGTTTAATAGCTATAGCTACATCACAAAGTAATCTTGCGTTATCTGGGTTGTTTCTTTTTTTTTTCTGTGTAAAGAGCTATAGCTACATCACAAAGTAATCTTGCGTTATCTGGGTTGTTTCTTTTTTTTTTCTGTGTAAAGAGCTATAGCTACATCACAAAGTAATCTTGCGTTATCTGGGTTGTTTCTTTTTTTTCTGTGTAAAGAGCTATAGCAACAGAAAGTATCAAATTTTCACATATTTTTTTATATTAAATAAATCGAGTTACGTTTACCAACCAAACAACTACGTATTACTTAAACAACTAATCAACTTTTATAACATTAAAAAAAACAACAGTAGTGAATTTCCTCTCCCTGATGATAAGGGCTCCATCAGATACCAGACGTCACAAAATCATTTTACGCATGCGTTGTTTGAAAAGCGACTAGTAAAGTTTAAATGAGTTTAAGATTTATGTGTCATTTCTGTATACATGTTACCAGTACTGCTGGGTAATCATACTTCTAACTTTATAGGGTTTAGAAAGGTCAGTGTTACCAAGGTCCTCGTATGGTAAACAGAAATTGGGCTCTCATTTTTTTTAAAGTCACTTTAAGTTTTTGAGAGTTGCGTTTTTTGTCTGCTTGTTTTATTCTCAGGTCGCTTATTTTAGCCTTTTTGTAACAGCTGACTTCAACACACACAGTAAAATGGTTGTAGGACCGGTTTCGGGTGATTGATTGGTTCAATGAATGGTCTACACATCGTTGCAATTTTAGAATCACCCTATCCCCACTTCTGTCCAATTAAAAAACACGCTCACAACCGCGTGAACTTTCTGGCCTGCCCACTTGACTTTTTGGACAGGATGTGTTCTCAACCTCGGCTGCTATGGAAGATATAACCACCTTGTAATGTCTATATTGACGGAAGTCAATACTGAAAGAGGTCTTTCAGCATGATAATGCACATTATTACACTTCATGCTGTGTCAAGAAGTAGTTTGATAGAAATATTGTCTGGAATCTGTCTTGAATGACCCAAAACACCTATCCTGAGCTCAACTGAAATTATTAGGGAATTTGTTTAAATACAACTTACATGACAATATGGGAAAACATAGACAGCCCACTAAGCACAGGGCTGCTTTACTAGATATAGAGATGGTAGTCCCTCACTAAGCACAGGGCTGCTTTACTAGATAGAAAGATGGTAGTTCCACTAGCACAGGGCTACTTTACTAGATATAGAGATGGTAGTCCCACTAAGCACAGGGCTGCTTTACTAGATATAGAGATGGTAGTACCCTACTAAGCACAGGGCTGCTTTACTAGATAGAAAGATGGTAGTCCCCCACTAAGCACAGGGCTGTTTTATGAGATATAGAGATGGTAGTCCCCCACTAAGCACAGGGCTGCTTTACTAGATATAGAGATGGTAGAACCCCACTAAGCACAGGGCTGCTTTACTTGTACCCCACTAAGCACAGGGCTGCTTTACTTGATATAGAGATGGTAGTACCCCACTAAGCACAGGGCTGCTTTACTTGATATAGAGATGGTAGTACCCTACTAAGCACAGAGCTGCATTACTAGATACAGAGATGGTAGTCCCACTAATGAATGCTTTACGAGAGGTAGACAAAAGTCTTGCTAAGCAGAGGACTGCTTTAATTTACTTGAGAGAGATGGTAGTCTATTCCGCTGAATGTATACCATGCTTTGAATGAAAAGAACAAGCTCATTCCTCGTTAAAGTGGGGCTTCTGTCAAAACAATATTTATAACAAACCCTTCAGAAACGTGTTGCCCTAAACGTTTCAAACTGTAGTCTATGTTATACTTCTGCACTATTTGTCTAACAAATCTAAACATTAAATATGAATTTCCCGTTGAAGAAAGAGCCTTATTTACCTTTCAGCAGGGCCTCCGGGATCCAGGTCAGAAATGAATGGAGGAGCAGAGAGCACTTTTGATGTACAAGTTGGTGCTTGGAGGGCAAATCCGAACCCTCGGTGATCGGCATGGACCGTGACTGCAGCCACATCAATATAACCCAGCCGACCAGTGGGTGGTACCCACGTTGATGCACTTGATGGTAACAGAGCTATAAAAAAATAGTAGAAAAGATACAATCTCATCAATGTAGAGAGAGTCATCTTTGGTTATTATTTTAATCTACAATAACAATTGGAAATCAAAATGTTTAGATATTAGGTGTGTTATTAAAGATGTGAACTTGGGTGGCATCAAATAATTAATAAAATGAAATATCACACAAACATTTCCCTAACACAGCACTCAAGTCAAAATAAATTACTTTTAATATTGCATTCTGTGAAAAAGATTGTTAGTAAGAAAAACATTCATTAAAAAAAGCTAAAAGAAACTGTTTCTCATGAAACAAAAATTGCATAGAAAGTTTCTTCTCATCTGTTCAAAAGTAACATCTTCTACCACATTTACCATAAAAGTAAACCTTATCTTATCACACTTACTATAAAACTAAACCCTTCCTTTCCACACTTACCATAAAACTAAACCCTTTCTTTCCACACTTACCATAAAAGTAAACCTTATCTTATCACACTTACCATAAAAGTTAACCTTATCTTATCACACTTACCATAAAACTAAACCCTTTCTTTCCACACTTACCATAAAAGTAAACACTGTTTTTGCCACACTTACCATAAAAGTAAACCCTGTTTTGCCACACTTACCATAAAACTAAATCCCTTCTTACCACACTTACCATAAAACTAAATCCCTTCTTACCACACTTACCATAAAACTAAATCCCTTCTTACCACACTTACCATAAAACTAAATCTCTTCTTACCACACTTACCATAAAACTAAATCCCTTCTTACCACACTTACTGTAAAGTAAACCCTTTATTATCACACTTACCATAAAGTAAACCCTTTATCATCACACTTACCATAAAGTAAACCCTTTATCATCACACTTGCCATAAAGTAAACCCTTTATTATCACACTTACCATAAAGTAAACCCTTTATCATCACACTTGCCATAAAGTAAACCCTTTATTATCACACTTACCATAAAGTAAACCCTGTTTTACCACACTTGCCATAAAGTAAACCCTTTATTATCACACTTACCATAAAGTAAACCCTTTATTATCACACTTACCATAAAGTAAACCCTTTCTTATCACACTTACCATAAAGTAAACCCTTTATTATCACACTTACCATAAAGTAAACCCTTTATTATCACACTTACCATAAAGTAAACCCTTTCTTATCACACTTACCATAAAACTAAATCCCTTCTTACCACACTTACCATAAAGTAAACCCTTTATTATCACACTTACCATAAAAGTAAGCCCTTTATTATCACATTTACGAAAACAGTAAATTTTTCTTACCACGTTAAGTAAATCTTACCATACTTACCACTTGAAGAGCAGGGTGGTATAGATTTTGTTAAAAATCTCCTTTGATCCACATTTCGATCCCATCTTCCATGTGATGATGGTTGTGGAAGAGGAAGAAGTGGCAGTCTATATGAGAATGATGACTGACTTCCAAAAGAAAATGGGGTGTTGTAGCTAAAACTGGAACTAAACTGTGCCACATCAGAGGAAGGCAAGAAACCTAGAAGAAATAACAAAACATTTCAAAATTGACATTAATTACAAACTTTCTGAATGTAATAATACAACTAAACCAATCAAATTTTAAACCTTTGTAGCCAAACTTTTCAGCATGAATACATTAAATAAAATTTCTAAATTAGTTTTTTCTTAATCATGAAAATAGTTTTTAAGAAAAACAAAACGTCAAACCTTGTTAACCATCATGGAACAAAAAGAGTAGAGAGATATAAATGAAAATTGTTAAAAACAACTGTATGATAAATAGAAAGATTGTGTTCACAGTTTTAGGAGTTTTGTAATCATTAAAAGAAACATTTAATACAATGTTGACTACTTATCACAACAAGAAGCTGAGACAGTTATATTAGGACCTTTACAAGAAGCAGAGACCGTTATATTAGGACCTTTACAATAAGCAGAGACAGTTATTTAGGACCTTTACAAGAAGCAGAGAAAGTTATATTAGGACCTTTACAAGAAGCAAAGAATGTTATAATAGGACCTTTACAAGAAGCAGAGAAGTTATATTAGGACCTTTACAAGAAGCAGAGACAGTTATATTAGGACCTTTACAAGAAGCAGAGACCGTTATATTAGGACCTTTACAAGAAGCAGAGACATGTTATATTAGGACCTTTACAAGAAGCAGAGAATGTTATATTAGGACCTTTACAAGAAGCAGAGACTGTTATATTAGGACCTTTACAAGAAGCAGAGACCGTTATATTAGGACCTTTACAAGAAGCAGAGAATGTTATATTAGGACCTTTACAAGAAGCAGAGAATGTTATATTAGGACCTTTACAAGAAGCAGAGAATCCGTTATATTAGAACCTTTACAAGAAGCAGAGACCGTTATATTAGGACCTTTACAAGAAGCAGAGACCGTTATATTAGGACCTTTACAAGAAGCAGAGACTGTTATATTAGGACCTTTATTGATTTTAGTTCCAGGAACTCTGTGACTGAACATCTGACTGACTGGTAAGACTTCCAATCTGATTACTTCATTAAGAGACATTTTCAAAACTTGGGAAGCTTCGGAAACTGTCATCTGGTCAAGCCTTGTGCCATCAATGGCTAGTATGTGGTCTCCCACATGAAGTGCTCCACATCTGTATGATACAATAAGAACTCAGACAAGTCAATGGCATGTGTTGAGAAGAAATATTTTTGGTTTAAAACTAACACTTTGGATATATTAACTTCACTAAAATATACGTGCAATTATTTCTTGTGACTACACTGTTGAGAGGTTACAGTAATACAAGATTATCAAATTATAGATTTAATTAATTTCAGGGGGGGGGTCCTTCTATTTTTAAAAATCAAAATAAACATAATGAAAAGATTTTGCTGTTTGAATTCAGTGATTTTTACTTCATTATGCACAAATAAATTTAAACAGTTGTTTGTGTAAATTTTGTGCACATTTCTATATATTTAATAATGGATGACATCTATTAACATATGATTCATGGTCAGTCGATTTTAATGTCATTGGTTTACTCATATATGTCTGATGATATTCAATCATAAATAGCAATACACCATTTAAACCACAATTATGTATTATTACAAAAACAAAGATATTTTCTGATGTCTTTCAACCAAATTACATGCTTGATGATGGTGTGAACAAATGTCGTCAACTTGTTTACTTGTTTGTTTTATAGCAAAGCCACATTGGGCTAACTGCTGCATCCCAGATTTTAGCACTGCAAGTCTATAGACTCACCACTGTCCGAATAGGTCAAAACACATAACAAATTGTCAAAATAAATAATTGTGGATTAAATGGTGCATTAATTTTATGTATTTTAATTATGCTATCCTTCAGTGACATCATTCTGTGAAATAAAACTGGACAACAAAGGTGAAACTTTTTACATAAAAAACAATTTGACTAAGAATGTGTCCCCTCAAAAAGTTTGGTTAAAGCATTCCTCTCCTTGATTCATTGTGCTGATAACCTGATTGTAATGCACGTGACGGGTACACAATAAACTTATTGTGCTCACCACGTGGTGTACTGTAAGTTCAAACGTCTGATTAGCAGCTAAATGAATTAGAGGTTAATATGACTACAAGTATTATACCTTTCAGTATTGGTTGAAATAAGTGAAACACACATTAAATAATATTTCTACATCTTAATAAATACCTTACATTTAGGCCCAAGTGATATAACTATCATAAAAAAAACATGCAAATTTTGTGTTTCAACATTTCAGTAGTCAAAGAAATTAGTGAGTATTTTTATGATCCACATATAAGATCAACAACTAAGTGTTAGCATAAATGTTCTCAACTGTTTCGTCAACTATTTTATCTCTTTTTTTTAACCACCTCAAGTCCTTTTAGATGAATTTAAGATAAGTTAAGCAGTAAACTTTGCTAAATGTTTAATTTCTCTGTTTCTGTAGCTAGGTTAGATATTTAAGCGATGTAGAAAAGACTAAGAGTTCTTTCTCATACTTGGTACTCTTTCACCGTTGTAGCTTTTTATCCAGAAAACTGTAACTTTATATGATAAAGGCATTTTATTTCTAACCTTTTTATTAATCTTAATTTGAAGTGGCATGGCATGGCCAGGTGGTTAAGGCACTCGACTCTCATTCTGAAGGTCGCGGATTGGAATCCCTCTCACACCACACATGCTCGCTCTTTCAGCCATGGAGGCATTATAATGTG